AGGCCACCAGACACGAATTATATACCACAGGCATCTGTGGATAGAGACCTGCTGCTTTTGAGTGTTCTCCGCTGATACACACCGCGTCTCGCTGGCGTATAACAACACAGATTTCACGTTCAAGTTGAAAATTCGGATTTTAGTGCGTTGACGTTTCGTAAACTCGCAAAGGCAGCCCTGGCTTTCTTGATTCGTGCACCTATGTCGCTCTTGGTCCTGCCGTCCGACGCTATTTGGCTTCCAAGATATTGGAAACTTACGACCTTCTCCACTGCTTGCCCCGCTACCGTAAAGTTGGAAGGGTTGTCCGTGTTGATATTCAACGATTTGGTCTTGTTGACGTTGATGGTGAGACCAGCCGCAGAGGAGCGTTCGGCTAGGTCCTTGAGCTTACTCTGCATATCAGAGCGCCGTTGTGCTAGTAGAGCAACATCATCAGCCAAATCGAAGTCGTTGAGATGCTCCATGGTGATAGGCTGCCAAAGCAGCCCACGGTCAATTGCACCTACCATGATCTCGTCGATTACGATGAGAAACAGTAGCGGTGATAGTATACATCCTTGTTTCACACCAGCGACTACCCGGATAGGGTCGGACAAGGCTCCGTTATGCAGAACTCTGCACATGAAAGCCTCATACTGCGCTTGGATAAGGTTGACGATTTTATCCGGGACTCCAGTGCGTCTCAGGGCGCCCCACAGATTCTCGTGATTGAGACGGTCGAAAGCTTTTTCGTAGTCAATGAATACCAAATAAAGAGACTCTTGGAATTCATCTGCAGGATGATGTGGAGCGTGACAATATGGTCCACACAAGATCTTCCAGCACGAAATCCTGCCTGCTGCCGTCGGAGCGTCGCGTCGATCTTCTCCTGTATCCAATTAAGGATAACTTTGCACAGAACTTTGAGAACAATATACAGTAACATGATGCCTCGCCAATTGTCGCACACAGTCAGATCTCCTTTGGGACCTTTACTAAAGATGCCCTGCATCCAGTCAGCCGGAAAAGTCACGGTGTCCCAGATATTACAGAATAGTTGATGCAACATTTGTGCGGATAGCACGGGGTCAGCTTTGAGCATCTCTGCTGATATGCGATCGACCCCTGGAGCCTTGTTGGATTTCATGCTTCGGATAGCTGCTTCAATCGCCTGCAGTGATGGCGCCTCGGAATTGACGCGAGTGATGCGCTGCACCCTAGGCGGATCATGCCGAGATGTTGATGACTGGTTGGCCGTCGAAACTTGAAGAAGTTGTTCGAAGTGCTCAAACCAGCGTTTCAGCTGGTAAGCAATTGTCCAGTCGTGTCCTTCACTGGCATCCTCGGGTTCATCCTTGTTCCACTCAGGTGTCGTGAGATATCGTAGAGGAGGCGTATATCGCCAGTGTTTGCGGCTTTCTTCCCTTCGTCGGCCAGGGAGTTCACCCACGCTCGCTTGTCCCGTCTGCAAGAGCGCTTGACTTCCTTCTCTAGAGCCGAGTACCGTTGACGGGCTTCGTTCTTGGCTCCTCTGGTTCTCGCCCGCTCTATCGCGGCTTTTGCTTCTCTACGCTCCTCAATCTTCCGCCAGGTTTCATCTGTGATCCACTCTCCTCCAAGTTGTTCTCGCTTGTTTCTATAAAGGGAACGGCCATCAACGTTCATTGTTCTTCTACGCTGCCACCTTCTGAAACACCCACAGCTCGAGTCACAAGTTCTTCAACAAAAGAGTTTTTTACCGCTGGATCTTCAAGTCAGCGTGTGTTGAACCGCCGCCCGAGACGCCGGTTTTAGCCGATTAGAAGGTGATGGTCAGACGCGATGTCGGCGCTGCGTTTATTCCGGACATCTAGAAGGCTCCGTCTCCATTTTCGGCTGATGCAGATGTGGTCGATCTGATTTTCGGTATGTCCATCCCGGGAAACCCACGTAACTTTGGCCGATGGGGGAAGAGCGAGCCCCCGATCACCATGTCGTTATTGCCACAAAATTCTGCAAACAGCTCACCGTTCTCGCTCATTTCGCCGAGACCATGGCGTCCCATGACACGCTCATAGTCCGTGTTGTCGGAGCCGATCTTCGCATTGAAGTCGCCAGTGTAGAGCTTGATGTCACCCTTTGGAACCTTATCCACGACGGAATTCAGTTGACTGTAAAAATTCTCCTTGTTCTGTAGCTCGGCAGCATCGGTTGGCGCATAACATTAGATTATGGTAAAGTTACGAACCCGTGTTCTAAATCTGGCAACGATTATCCTCTCATTAACAGGCTCCCACTTGATGAGCGCAGCACTTCCCTGGACGCTAAGTAGGAGACCAGCTCCACGATGGCGGGGAGCATTTTCACCTCGAATACCAGAGTATAGTAGTACCTGTCCCGACGGCAGTTTGTGTTCTCCAAAGTTTGGCCAACGAACTTCACTCAGTCCCAGGATTCCTAGCTTCATGCGTCGCGCCTCGTTGGCGAGTTGTGCCAGTTTACCCTGGCTGGGAAAACGTCAATACATTCCATGATCCAATTCGTGTCCATCGTTTTGCGCTAAAAGTCGTTGCCGTTAAATCAGTTCGATGTCTTTCTCTGTTGGTTTCTGTAACAATTGTAAAGGTTTCAGAGACAGTAGGTGGTTGGCCTAAGGTCTCCTATCCGCCGTGATGGGGCTGCCATCTTAGGTGTAGCTTCCGGGGAAGAGCATTTATTATTCAGCTGCTGATGCTAGTCAGACGCTGTTTGAGTCGCACCTCCATGGTGAGCAGACGCTCGGGTTGGCGAAGCGTTTCCTCTATCACCGTGCTATGGTTACCGCGCCAGTGTTCGCGTCGCACCTCCTCACTCCGCTATTGTCGGATTGACAACATTGCCCAGGCTACGCCAACCAGCTGGCAGTCTTTTGTGATCATATGACTCGTCGAGGCGTGAGGTAGGAACTTGTGAGGACCGGAGCTAGGTATATCGCTCCTTCCAGATTGTCACTCACCATTTTGTAGCCCTTATGATCGTACGCCCTTTTTAAAAATTACTGTGTAAAACATATCATATTTAAATGAAAAATGCAACCATTGATAGCCGCGAACATGTGAGCAATGTTGCATTCAAATCGGAAGGGGTGGAGACAAAATTGACATATGTTTTTAGCGTTTTGGGCTGGAAAGCATTTCCATCATTTCCATAAGAAGAGATGAACTTTAGCCTATGGCTAAAAATCTCTTAAATAAAGATTTAAAAAAAAACACATTTCCATAAGCATCAGAAGTATCGTACTGATTTGGCGGCTCACACAGTTCTTTACAAATCACTCCTAGATAAAAATTTTGTTGTTCTTATCATTTTTGAGTTATATATATATATTTTTTTAAAGTTCCATCCTGTTCAATTGGTAGTCTAGTTTTTTTTTTCAAGGAAAATAAGAATTTAAAAGTTGCTTAAGTAAACGAAATCTTTAAACCCACAAAGTTTCATTGGAATCTGAGCCAACCACTGGTCGAGTTGGCGTGAAATCCGTCATTTGCTGAATTTGGTATTATTCTTATGTCACGCTAATCCATAGTAATTTATCGAGATAATCGTTCCTGCTCGGGTAGTGAACTTCCCAAAAAAAAGTTTCAGAATGCGCCGGTCAAGTACGTATTATTGATTGTATACAAAACCCAAGCCGCAATCGTCAGAGGTTGTCATTTTGATAAAAATGAAACAACGTCACACCATACCATTATCTACGCTTAGCTCATCGAATGTTCGATCAAATGCATCGACTATGATTGATGGGACCCCTTACAATCACGATATAAAAGTTCAACTTACAACGTACACACCTTCCAGTAACGATAAAGCGCTCAGACAAAGAACAAAGTGTGTAGATCGAAATGAAAGGTTGGAAACTCTGACTGGTAATTTGAATGATTTAATATATTTCAGTTTGATCTTCTAGGCTTTTGGTTGTTGGCATGCCTGCTGATGTTTAGCAGTTACCATGCTCAAGCTTACCTTCCATGTCTGGGAACCGTAGGAGTGTCACAGGTTCCGAATCCGGATGATTGCACGCGCTTCTTCATCTGTGTCGACGGGATTAGTTTTCCCCAGCAGTGTGGACCTGGATTGATCTTCGATGTGATAACCAACAGCTGTAATCGGGAGGAAATCTCCATTTGTATCACCGAGGTTGCTACGCCTCCAACGCCCTCGGGATGAAGTGAGCAAAGCTTATGTGTGAATGATTTTTTTTTCTAAGTGTGTTTCGAAATGTATACCTTTAATAGTTAACCAATATGCTGTGATTCATTTTATTTCGCAACTAACCGCCCTAATTACAAATACCACCCTTTGGGGTTGATTATCTCATCATCACTATAAAAATGTCCATTTCCATCCGTTAGCAGGACCCCGACAGTGGAAACCCAATACTTTCTCTGATGGCAATGCGCACTAAATCAGCTTGATGGTGGCAATTCTGTTGGCTTGTTTGCCATTTCCCCATTGCATTGGCGTCTCATCTTACAGCAACCCATTCCAGCTGAGTTGGTCCCTTTCCCGGGGAACATTTCCAAAAAGCATCACGTAGTGTAAACAGAAATATGAGTCAACAACGTTGTGACCGTGAATTTCGCTTTCACAGTCCTCATCGCCCCTGCACCCCCCCCCCCTCCCCGGCTGTATGCGTTCGGAAAAAGCTCCCCTCTTTCGAATGTCTGTTCTAGGATGCTCCTTGCACGGTCGTTCAGACCAACTAGAAATTTCGGCAAAAGTGGATTCTACTCGAAAGTGAGTTGAATGCAATCATCCTATCCGGGCTTCGAATAAGAGTAAAATCGATAGAGGTTTCACTCAGTCTGTTAGTATACTCCTAGATTGAGAAACAAATGTAATAGATTTTCCTCATATTCGGGAAGTTTTTCCTCGTTTTCCACGGCTTTTCCCCGGAAAATTCAACCCACTTTCGAGTAAATCCACTTTTTCCGAAATTAACTCGACCGTGTGCCGTGATATAAGAGTCTAAATATAGTTTCAAAATGGAATATACGTACGCTGCCTCGTCTCTGTGTGGCTGATGCCGCCGATGCTCTTGCTGCGTCCACTTCGGATTATGGATCTCGTTGTTTGTTTTTCTTAGGGCACACACAGACTCGTGGATTTTCCTCTCCGTTTTCGATTGACGGAGCAGGACCGAGACCGAGAGATGAAATCGACCTTAGCTGATGATGATGTTTGTCCACAAATTTTCTCGCTCAATAAAATCCTAGAACAAAACACATGCGACACTGAAAATTCCACACTAGCACGTTGTAGGCAAGTTGTAAGCTTCTTTTCTCTGCACTGTTCGTGTGTATTCAAAGTAATTTTAATTAAATTTCACTAGTTTTGTTTTCTTCTACACTCATAGCGGATACGGACTAATGCAATTAAGAGGGATTAAACGGGTGCTTACAGTAGTGTGGGGGTCCGGGTAGTCTTGAGTGTGGTGGAAAGACTGCTGGGAGGAAGTGTTGCAAATTGTAGAAGGGAGAAATGTGAACGGTACGGGGATGGTCGAGATAATCCCACATGTTCGTTCTTCGGAGTGAATTTCTTACGGTTATGACGCCTTTCGAGCAACATAATAGCAAAGCACACAAGCGTAAAATCTGCCCTCGTTTAAAGAAATTGTTTACCAACTATCTTATTTGTGAGATAGTGCTCATACATAACATAACATGACATATCGTGTAAATTTACGCCAAATCTAGCGTTAATTACGTGTGAGCTATATATCGAATAAATTCACATTATTTTTCAACTTCCTCGTGAAATCTTCCTGAATATGACGCGAGACTTTCTGATTTAAATAAAACTTTGTCTATGTTTTTGACGGTAGAGAATATTAATCTTCCATAGATAGGGTAGAGAATTGCTCCGGCCTAATCGCCCATTTTGGGCCTATCGAGCAGAAAACTTCAAATAAATGCATGATTTCAGAGTGAACAAGTCAATTATGAGTTTGGTAGGATACTTTAGTTAGTAAGCTACCGAACGAAGTCAATGAGAACGCGTGATATGAAGGTTTGCACCCATTATTCCCAAAAACAAAAGAAGCGCTCCAATCAAATCAATTTTTATCTTCCTCCGAAAAATGAATTCATTGGAGTTTCAATGGCGTTTCAAATAAATTTGGAAGCCATCAATAAAAAATAACATTCCGTTTGGTGCTAAACTGCGCTAGATTAAGAAAGACTAAGTGTGGGTTGTGCTTAATAGGCCGGAAATGGGGTAGTTAACCCTATTAGGCTCAAGCGCCTTGTATGAATTTTGGCGTATAACTTTTCATGAACCCTATGTTTGAAGCAACGTTTCTCAAAACCTGTCGATTGTACCAAAATGGTATCTAAGGACGAGTCGTCGAGAGTTGATTTTAAAACGCTTTGCTTTTGAGAATTGTTTTTTTTAAACGTTCTGTGTTTGAGCAAGTATATTGAATTTCCAACGATTTGTTCTTTTGCACCTTGAAGATTCGAGCAACCGGTTTGAAATTACAGACACAAAAGTAATATTCACTTTTTCTTTCCCAGGTAGACTTTGTTACACATTGTACCTAAATAGGGTTAATGTTCTTATTATCGGCCTAAGTATCCCTAAAATTGACCACAATGTTCGACATTGTTTCACTAGCATCCAAAAATATCCATTTGTATTGTACATTACAAGACCAACATTTGAGGCCCTTTCAATTCCATTTTGTCACGAACCGAAGTCCGCCAACGCAAAACAACAAAATGAACAGGTAGGGGAAATTCTACTCTACACGGTAAGGAAAAAGTACCCACTTTTGCCTAATTTTGACTAGTTTGTCTCCTTTTCTCCTTCTAAAGGGCGAACACGAAATTATTGCGACACATTCAACAGGGCATAACTTTTTTACCATTGGGTAAAAATCAACCAAATTTTGCACACTTTCTCATTGATGTGTATTGTGTACATGCTGTCAAACTCGAAGTCGTGTTTTTCGATTCAACGAAAATGGAGGTGAACCAACGCGAGTTGAGAGAACAAATTCTTTCCCAACACCTGGAATTTCCTGACCTGTCGCACCGGCAGTTGGGAAAAATGTTGAACATTCACCATTCAACCGTCTCCAGAGTGTTGAAGCGGTTCCAGGAGCGGTTGACGTTGGACCACGGCAAAGGAGCTGGAAGAAACCGGGACCGGAGAACAAAAAGACGGAGGGAAAGGTGAAGCGGATGATTAAAGCAAATCCCAACGTCTCAAGCCGTGATTTGGCTAAAAAGATCGGCATGTCGCAGAGCTACGTCCAGAATGCAAAGAAGAGAGCGGGACTACATACATACAAGGTACAGAACTTCCCAAACCGCGATGAGCGGCAACAATCGACGGCTAAAACTCGGGCACGGAAGCTCTACGAGAAGTTGCTGACAAAATATGGCTGCAGTGTGATGGACGACGAAACGTATATAAAAGCCGATTTTAAGCAAATTCCGGGGTTGGAGTTTTTCACCGGCAAGAGCAAGTTCGATGTGGACGACAAATTTAAGAAGAAGAAAATGTCGAAGTTCGCCTCCAAATATCTCATTTGGCAGGCCATCTGCTCTTGCGGACTGAGGAGTGAGCCTTTCGTGATAAAGGGCACAGTAAATGGCGAGATCTACAAATCTGAGTGCCTCGAGAAGCGCCTTTTGCCGTTCTTGCAGCAGCACGACAAAGCTCCGCTATTTTGGCCAGATTTGGCATCATGCCACTATTCTAAAAGTGTCCTGGAGTGGTATGAGGCCAATTCTGTCCATTTTGTTCCAAAGGACATGAATCCGCCAAACTGTCCGGAGCTGCGCCCAGTGGAGCAGTACTGGGCAATAATGAAGCGGGAACTTCGGAAGAGCAAGAAGACAGTCAAAGACGAGAAGGACATGTTAAGAAAATAGAAAAAAAAAACTTGAGAAACTGGTACCGGATGACACTGTAAAGACTTTGATGGAGGGCATCAAGCGAAAATGCGTTCAATTTTACACTCAAGGCTCCATTGATTAACTTTTCTTTTGATTTTTGAAGTAAATATATGTATAAAACTACCCTGGTTTGATTCTAAACATTATAAGGAAATTGGCATGACATTTTCGGTGTCGCAATAATTTCGTGTTCGCCCTTTAATGTTATCAAAAACGGAGTAGCAACACCACCCATCAGGGGTAGTAAAGTGTGGGAACCCAACGTTGAGTATAATCATATTTACCTACTTTTGGGTACAACCAACTTACTTTTGGGTAGAAAGTTAGTGGAAAATTCACACAACTAAATGAAAACTACTTTGACCCAATCCTTTAAATTTGTCGAACCTCTTAACGGAATCCCTTTATGAAGAGCTTTGAGTGTGTTAGTTTATTTCCTTTAAATTGCGTTATAATTGCTTATCTTTTGACAGATACGCGTATTTCGTCTACTACTTGCAGACTTCGGTTGAGTACTTGGCACTGAAATAAACCAACACACTCAAAGCTCTTCATACTTTGACCCGTTTTTCCTACTTTAGGGTTCCTGCACTTGCACTATAGTTCCGAGATGGGTGAAAAGAACTTACTTTTGGGTACTTTTTTCTTATCGTGTATACGATTGTGGTTTAGATTTTCGAATGTAGGAAATGGCCTTGCGTGGTTTGTTTGCAAGATGTTTTCAATTGTTGGTCTTGACTAGAGCCATTTCCCCTACGCAGAATTTTAATATCTTTAGTAGGAACTATTATATCCGTGTAGCTCTACCGTTTTTTTTAATAGGGTAAGTGCTCAAATTTTGGCCATCCTTAAGAAAATCGTTCGGGCGATATGCCTATGTATCCCGATAAATAAGATTTGAATCAACTATTTCAAAGCAGCTAAAGTACATTACGTGAAATTTCATCATGGCCAAAATCGATGCATTTCTCTTACCTTCATATGTACTTAAGCTTATTCAAATTTCATCCTCAGCTATCGGTTGATAAATCACTGTGACGTATTTAACGTTCAATATTTGAAAATGGATTAAATTGTAGTATTTTTTATGTTAAGTACTTTATTTGTACAGGCTCAATCGAATAAACTTTACAGAGCCGAGATATTAAATGGTTGTAGACCGTTTCCAAATTACATTGTAAAATTGATTGAGCAACTGTTGTCATTGCACTGTATAATTCCTCTACATACAGCTTTAAACATTAACTATTCCTGCCTTGTGTCTATGTACCGTTTTGAACCGAATTTTACCAATTCATCATCACATAAACACATAACACCTACAACTACTTCAGTCGACTCAGCATCATCTTAGGAATAATCGAACTATTGAATAAGGGAATTGCTGGAATCATTTCCCCGGTATAAATGAGGAGACAAACCAAGCAACCAAAAGTTCTGCATTCAACAATGAAACCTACTTTCAAGTTCTATAAAGTTCAAATAATGTTTCGACAGAACTTTCAAGTTCCATAAAGTTCTGACAGAACTTTCAAGTTCAATTAAGTTCAAATAAAGTTCCGACAGAACCTTCAAGTTCCATAAAGTTCTGACAGAACTTTCATGTTCAATTAAGTTCAAATAAAGTTTCGACAGAACTGTAAAGTTCCATAAAGTTCAAATAAAGTTTCGACAAAACTTTCAGGTTTCGACAAAACTTTCAAGTTCCAACAAAATTTTCAAGTTCCGATAATACTTTCAAGATCCATAAAATTCAAATAAAGTTCCGACAGAACCTTCAAGTTCCATAAAGTTTGAATAAAGTTCTGACAGAACTTTCAAGTTCAATAAAGTTCCGACAGAACCTTCAAGTTCCATAAAGTTTGAATAAAGTTTCGACAGAACCTTCAAGTTTCATAAAGTTCTGACAGAACTTTCAAGTTCAAATAAGTTCAAATAAAGTTTCGACAGAACTTTCAAGTTCCATAAAGTTCAAATAAAGTTCAGACAAATCAGTAAAATTCCATAAAGTTCAAATAAAGTTCCGACAAAACTTTCAAGTTCCGACAAAACTTTCAATATCCATAATGTTCAAATAAAGTTTCGATAGATCTGTCATGTTCCATAAATTTCAAATAAAGCTCTGAAAGAACTTTCAAGTTCTATAAAGTTCCAACTGAACTTTCAAGTTCAATTACTACTCTGACAGAAATGTCAAGTTCCATAAAGCTCTGACAGAACTTTCAAGTTCCATAAAGATCAAATAAAGTTCCGACAGAACTGTAAAGTTTCCATAAAGTTCAAATAAAGGTCCGACAAAACTTTC